GCCTTGTGTCTACAAGAAGGTTAGTGGGAGCATGATCGTATTCCTGGTATTATATGTAGATGACATATTACTCATTGGAAACGATGTCCCTACCTTGCAACAAGTGAAGACTTGGTTAGGGAAATGCTTTTCAATGAAGGACCTAGGTGAAGCAGCCTATATATTAGGAATCAGGATCTATAGAGATAGGTCACAAAAACTGCTTGGCCTAAGTCAGAGTACATACATAGAAAAAGTGTTGAGACGCTTTAATATGCATGATTCCAAGAAAGGATTCATACCTATGCAACATGGCATGTGTCTGTCAAAAACACAACCCCCTTCAAGTAAGGAAGAAAGGGATCGCATGGATAAGATTCCATATGCATCTGCAATAGGATCTATCATGTATGCCATGCTATGTACTCGACCAGATGTCTCGTATTCTTTAAGTGCAACGAGCAGGTACCAGTCTAATCCCGGTGATGCTCATTGGGTAGCTGTCAAGAATATCCTTAAGTACTTGAGAAGGACTAAGGATTCATTCTTGATATATGGAGGTCAGGAAGAGCTTGCTGTAATTGGATACACCGATGCTAGCTTCCAGACAGATAAGGATGACTTTAGATCGCAATCTGGTTATGTGTTTTGTTTAAATGGTGGCGCTGTGAGCTAGAAAAGTTCAAAGCAAGATACAGTTGATGATTCTACAACCGAGGCTGAGTATATTGTTGCCTCAACTGCAGCAAAGGAAGCTGTTTGGATCAAGAAGTTCATTAGTGAACTTGGCATAGTCCATAGCATTGTGGATCCCATTGATCTCTATTGTGATAACAATGGTGCTATCGCACAAGCTAAGGAGCCTAGATCTCACCAACGATCCAAACACATACTTAGGCGTTATCATCTCATTCGAGAGATAATCGATCGAGGAGATGTGAAAATATGCAGAGTACCTACACTTGACAATGTTGCTGACCCATTAACAAAGCCTCTTGCGCAGCTGAAGCATGATGGACATACTAGATCTATGGGTATTAGGGGTATGCCTGATTGGCTCTAGTGCTAGTGGGAGATTGTTGGTGTAAGCCCTAGAGGCCAATACTTTTGGTACTTGTATCGAATTATTTATTAATAATAAAAAGAATTTCTTTATTATGTTTGCTTTCCAAAATAATAAAGTCCCTAGAATGGTTTATTGGTTTAATGAAATGTTAAGTGTGTCTTAATCATGAGATCCCATTAAACATAAGAAACTATTCTTAAAGTATCCATAGTCAAGCTTTAATGTGAAGTGGGATAACATTAAAGCATTAAGATTATTATGAAGATAGATTGATGATCACATCTCATGGATCATAGATAAGGAGTTATCAAGTCTTGACATAGGTATGAATATTAGGAGTAATATTTATACTGGATTGACCCGCTATGAGAATACTACATAGAATGTTATGCAAAGTGTCATAAGTTATTCTCATGATGATAATGGTGTATACCACCCTTCGACCTGAAACCACTATGGACCCTAGATGTAGAGTCAAGTAGTTTATTGCTGATCAAACGTCATCCGTAACTGGATGACTATAAAGACGGTTGGTGGGTACTTCACAAAGCATGCTAAGGGACATGAGTGACCTAGATGGAATTTGCTCATCCTGCATAACAGGATAAATGTCTAAGGGCCCAATATTGAACTGGACAAGGGTGACACAGTGTATGCCTTGTGTTCAATATAGACATGAGGGCAAAAGGGTAATTGTACAACATAAATATTATCACGGAAAAGGTTTGGTCAGATCACATGACATTTTCGAGACTTGGGTAACAGTGATGTGTTGCTAGATACCGCTCACTGTTTATTATATTAAATGTGTGATTTAATATAATTGCCAACGTCGCGAAAACCTACAGGGTCACACACATAAGGACAGGTTGATGAGAGATAGAATAAATAAGGAACACCGTAAGGTACGGTGCACTTAAGTGTAATACGGAAAGTGGTAAGATACCACGTGGATAAGTGATATATGGTACATCATAAGGTATGATGTCCATAAGCTTAATTGGGCTTTCAGCTTATAGCCTTAATTGGGCTTTTAGCTTGTAGCCCACACGAGTGATTCTATAAATAGATCCCTTGTGATGAAGCAATTTCACTTGATGCAATTTCGTTTTTGACTCTCTCTCTCACTCAAGGTTTCCGTTCGTGATCAGCTAGCACTGTGACCGGAAGCGATCTGTTCGTGTGGACTGAGTAGAGGCGTTGTTCTTCATCAACGCTCGTGATCACAACATCAAAGGTCTGAATCGCCACAAGAGGTAAATATTTCTATCACTGACCATGCTCATTCGTAAGGATCGCTAAAGGAAAATTTTAAATTCCGCTGCGCTTTTGATCGCAATTTTCCTTCAATTATTACCACTTTTTAAAGTCATATTTAGATTTATAACATATATTATTAATTTAAGTTAATTTTTTTATTTAGGCTAAGCGTTTGGGGAGACAACCATTGATGACTGAGCTGGTTACCGAAACTCGAACAAAGAAATCAGGAGAATTTATTGACGAGCGTACAAAAAAAGCCCTGGTAAGTAAATTTATGTAAATTTATGTATAAGCAATTTTATGACGTGATTTTCACGTAGCAAGTGAGATGTTGTGGCGTGGAAATTGAGTGGAAACTGATAAGTTGTGGCGTTACAATCATGTGGCTATTTGTTTTTTATTATTATTTTTATTTAATTTAATTTCATTTATTTTACTTATATATTTAACTTGATTTTTTTATTGTATGTGTAGGAGGATTATCAGGCCTTGCTTGTAGAATTTCTGACCCATAATCCTCAGTATACTCCTCCTTCGAAAAAACCGGTTCATCCAGATGTGGATTTCTATATTTGGAGTCAAGTTGTTGGAGAAAAGGGGCCTAACAAGTGTTTTTTTGGTGGTGGAAATTTGGCGGGCACCTTGAGGAGTGGGGTCAGAAATCTGTATCAGAGAGCTGCAGACGGTGAAGGAGGGGCACGTCAAACAAATTTGATACCAGATCAGTTAGAACTGGTAAGACAATTGGCTAGACGCGAGTCCGAAGAACGTGAGGCGGCATTGAAGGCCCAAATGAAGGCAATGAGGGGGTGACCATAATAGAGAAATGGAGGCAATGACGAAGAGGCAGGCTAATATGGAGGAGCAAATGCGACAATTTATGCAAGCATTTGGTAGAAATCCCAACAGTGGTGGCCAAAATAATAACCACCAAAATAATGATGACTTTCTTCGCGACTTTTCCGACGACTCGAATGATCCTTCTGCTTAGTTTTATTTTTATTTTCTATTTAGTTTTTTATTTGTGTAATATAAATTTATAATCGTATTGTATATTTAAAAATATTAAATTTATATTTTAGTTTATTAAATTTATAATATTAAGTATATTAATTTATACATTTTGATATATTTAGTTTTATTTTTGATAATTTGATTTATAATATTGTATTTAATAAATAAATAATAATATTTAATTTATAAATTTAATGAAACAAAAAATAATATTAAATATTATATCAGAATTAGTATATTTAAACAGAAAATAAATTTTTTTTTTTTAAAAACAAGTTCCGACGTGTTTTTCACGTCACTAATTAGTGACATAAAAAACACGCCGCAACACCCAACGTAAAAGTAAATATAAAATATGCTCTGACCTCTACTCTGCTCTGAATTCCTTTGACCTTATAAAGTTTGTTGCGGCGTGAATTTCATGTGGCAACGTTGTGACATGTTTTCCACGCAGCAATAAGATTGTCACGCGCTCTCTAACGACGTGTTTCTTAAGGTGGCAAAAATGAAGTTGTGACGTGATTTTGGTGTTAGCGACGTGGAATTCACGTGGCAAAATACAACTTATTTTGTAGTGGCTGACATTGATGCCTAGACCGATAGATAGATTGATAAAAATACCATAATTAATTAGTTGGACGTGGTAATCCCAAACAATCTCAGAAATGCCAAGATTAAAGATCTGGTAAAACATAATGGGACCTGGAATTGGGATTTGCTAAAGAGCTGGATTCCTAATGAGATTTTGATGAAAATCAATTCCATCCTGCCTCCTAGGGCTGAGTATGGTGATGATTTATTATTATTTGCAGGTCTTACCTGTGAGCATTTTTCAGTCAAGGAATGCTATGATAGAATGGTGCAGCAGAAGAACCTTCTTGGTGAAAAACGGTTGAATAATATATGGAAGATCAAAGCGCAAGCAAGAGTTAGATGCTTTATTTGGTTGATTTGTCATGATAGACTGATGACTAATTACAGCAAGAGCATGAAAGGACTAGGAGGAGCTGATTGTAAGTTATGTGCTAGTGTCAAAGAAACAACCCTCTATGTGCTGAGGGACTGTCCTAAAGCGGTGCAGATGTGGAGAAGTAGAATTCCAGGCCGTATGAGAGCTGATTCCTTTTCACTTGAGTTATCGGATTGTATAGAACTCAATCTCAGTATGAATCAGAAGTGGATTAGTTATTGGGCAGTAGGTTGCCATAGCAATTGGTTTTGGAGGAATAAAGAAGTCAATGATGAGAATTATAGTCGGCCAATCCATCCGAATCTTTATGTTCACAGTAGAGTTAATGAATATAATTCTAGTGTTAAGAACAAGTCTGTTGCAGTTGGTAAGGAATATGTTGGCAGTTCAGCCCCCAGAGAATGGTTGGATGAAGTTAAATACAGATGATGCTTGTATTTAACCAACAAAAAAGAAAACTAGCAATAGCATTCTTCTTGAAATTGCATTGCCATTTTTTGAGGTTAGAAATGACTCCAGCACAACATTAACGTTTTACGTCCCTTCTACGCACGCTACCTCTTCTATTCAATTCTCTGAATTGACTTTTCTTCACAAATACTCATGTAACTATTGACTTATAAAGTCCTTGTTTCATTTCTACGCTATTTTTCCTTCTCTACTAATTCATTCATTCATGTTATGATTCTCTCTCAAATTCTTTTACTAATGGCTTCTTCAACTCTAACACCTCTTATATTTTACATCTTCATTATTCTCCACCTTCAAGCTTCTAAAGCCAAACAAACAATATGCAACACCTTATCATGCGGTGATATTGATATCACTTTTCCTTTTGGTTTAAAACAAAGTACTAATCAAATTCAAAATCCTTATTGTAGCTATTATCCAAATCCTTCTTTCCAACTTTCATGCAACAAACAAACACAAACAATCCTTAACCTCCCCAAAACAGACAACTTAATCATCAACAACATCGATTACAAAGTACAAACAATCAAAGTCAACGACCCCAAAGGTTGTCTCCCAAAACGTTACTTAGAAAATAATTTCAACCTTTCCGGTTCACCTTTTAAATTAAACCCGCAAATTTACAGCAGGTACTATAATCTTACTTTTCTACGTTGTCCTTCCAACGTTACAGAGCTATCATCTGAATTACCTTTAACACCGATTTCTTGTCTAAGCGATGAAGAAGAACATGATTCGGACATGTTGGTTTTTGTTTCATGGGGAGAGCCTATTGAGGATACAACGTTGTCTGAAACATGTGAGGTGATTTCAAGAGGCCTTGTTCCGTTACGGTGGATGGATTTAACTATGTGGCCTTTTTGGGTTGATCTTAATCATGATGTTGAGTTGGTTTGGAACAAACCTGGATGTGAGAAATGTGCACTTAATGGTCAAGTTTGTGGATTCTCTATGTCTGATGATAAGATAAATGGTCTTCAAGTTGAATGCTTCCCTAATCCTTCCAATAGAGGTACGTGTTCTTCTTAACCTTCGGTTTCTATATAACACTGACATCCGAGAAAAAAATATATATGATCTGTGTCGTAATTGAATATTTACATCGATATTTATGATTAGAATTTATTTATTTTTTAAAATTATTATCAGAGTCATTGTGTCAATATTTTATAGTGGATGTTTTTTTAGAAATTAATCAAGGCCATAAAATAATGTTAATTATTTTTGAGAAATTCATGCAAGACCACAAGTTTAAATTTTGGAACTTTGTAAGTGGCTCGATGTGATAAATCAACTTTCATGATGTATAATTCCTTATGTTTAAACTTTAAACCCAATAAAGGATCAACTTGTGAAACAAGAAAGAAAGAAAATCAGAACACATCATTTTCAATTAAGTTTTAGGTCATCTTATAATAAAATAATTGAATAATACAAGTATCATTTATGACATTTTGAAAGCAAATGACTAACAACTACGGGTTTCTTTCAAGGCTTAAGCCACTCAACCCATTTATTATGTAAATTAATTTTTTATGTAGACACATACATTTGAACATATCATTTAGATACACAGAATATATACATTATTTAATTATTATTTTTTAAATAGTTGATTTTTTTTTGTTTACATTAATATATATTTAAAATTAAAAATACAAACAAAAAATTTTTGATACAGGTTTGTCTACAAGTGCCAAATACTCCATATCAATAGGATTGGGACTACCAGGACTTCTATGTCTAGTTATAATTTTCTGCTTTATACGTGGTAAGATGAGGAGAATCTCACCTCATAATCAAAGAAGCTCAAATCATCCTTCAAGTACAATTTCCTTAGAACCACTTCCTTCTTTTGTAACTGGCCTCGATGGTGCAACTATTGAGAAGTATCCTAAAATTCTCATTGGAGAGAGTGGACGTTTGTTGAAGCCTAGTGACAATACTTGCTCAATTTGTCTATCTGAATATGAACCTAAAGAGACATTGAGAAGTATCCCTGAATGCAACCATTATTTTCATGCTGCTTGTATTGATGAGTGGCTTAAAATGAATGGCACTTGCCCTATATGTAGGAATTCACCAGAGGCATATTCTTCTACGACTCCTTTTTTTTCTTCATTGTTATTATCCCCAAACTCTTCACCATTGACATCTTCACGATGAATTAGACATGCTTCAAGTCGTATATATTTAATGTATTTAATGTAGTTATACCATTGTAAACTTTTTTTTCTTTTCAAAGATGATATACGAGAATGTATTATTTATCATTTTTAGTCTTAATTCTTTGGTTTTAGAAAATAAGTTTAAATAGTTTTTTGGTCTCTATAAATTGGTATATTTTTTATTTTGATCCATGTATTTTTTTTTTTTGAAAATGATCTATGAATGTTAAAATCCTTTTGTTTTTAGTCTTTAAAGTTAAAATCTGCAGGAAAGTTTAAAAATAAATCCGTAGAAAACCTCAGATTTTTTTTGCGGATTTTCATTTTAGGGACTAAAACCAAATTAAATTCAACATTTAAGGACTTTATCCAAGAAAAAAATATACAGGGACGAAAATTAAAAACACGCTAACTTACAGACACTAAAAAACTATTTAAACCTAAAATATATTATACATTCGAGTCTAACTATGTGATGATATATAGTGATTTGTCATATGAACCTAAATAACCGATATGACTCATAGTCACATAAAAGAGGCTACAAAGTTAAGTTTGTGGGTCACTGCAAGACTTCATATGCATTTGCCTTTGCGTTTGACCTAAACGCTTGTTGGGCTCAATTGTTGTGGGACATAATCAATACATTTTAGGGGTATATTTGTAATATGGCCCCTAATATCCTTTATATATCACATGTAACACTGAAATTCTAATTTATTTAAATAATAATGTGGAACTACAATAGTTATTCAATTGCAAATGTAGATATATTGGTCGAACTAAGTAAATAATATTGTGTGTATTATTTGAGATTTTTATTTCGACTTATTCTTTTGTTACTAGTTGTTGTCCTAACAAATGATATTAGATGGCGATTACGACTCTTGAAAAGCAAAATAGTTGAGTGTTGTGTACGAGTGATTTGATGTGTTTAATAGAGTTTATTTCCTTTTGAATGCTAAAACATAGTCCTCAAAGAGTCACATTGCTTTCTTTAAGTCATTTTTTCAGTTTAGCGGTCACATTCTTCTTTTGTGTTTCACTTTCCAGCATTTGAAGTTAGTGGAATATGTAGGATCAAGCGCTTACCACTGAGCTAAAAACAATTTCCATATAGTACGAGCATTTTCAGGGGCTGCACCTGGTTTACTAAGCGCTCATGGGTGGGATGTTAAGCCCTTCGAATCCCTAAGGTTAACGCTGTGTATTTTAATGCAACAATCTCCCCCCTAGTGTCAGTCGGAGAGATTCGAACCCATGACCATGCTCTGATACCACTTGTAGGATCAAGCGCTTACCACTGAGTTAAAAGCAATTGCTTGTAGCCAAGGTGCAACTTTATTTCCATATAGTACGAGCATTTTCAGGGGCTACACCTAGTTTACTAAGCGCCCATTGGTGGGATGTTAAGCCCTTTGAATCCCTAAGGTTGACGCTGGATATTTTAATCCAACCGAGCCATTTCTGCTGAAATAAAAAGAAAGAAGATGAGAAAACCTGTCTTAAGAATACCTGTTATGCAATGATATGTTATGTAAATGTGTATGTATGTGCAATGTTTTCAAGGACCTTGTAGGATTTAAATTTGTTTAATCAAAAAAGGAAACAAAGAAACTTAGTAGTAAGTTCATATTATAAGTTTCTTTTAAGCTTACAATGAAAAAAAGATAGTTAAAACATAAAACTCCTAAGGCCTAAGGTATTAAGTCTCCCATGGACGCTTCCTCTTTGTGTTGACATATGCGTTAAGGCTCTGCTCTTCGTGGATTCGTTTCGTCAGCTCCAATATTTTCTTTTCACTAGCATAGAACTGAGTTTCGAAGGTGTCTCTTTCTTCCTTGAGTTGTATCTAGGACTTCTGTAGTTCTTCAAAGTTAACAGGAATATCAGAATGGAGAGTGGTATAAGGAACATCTCCTTCAACAATAGGCTCCATAATTACTGATATGACAACAAGATATGACATTATAAGATTTTGAGCACGAGATCACACCCATTTGAGGTAGGGCTCCAAAGGGATGGAGTTCTTATGCCCCGAAGTCTTGCTATTAATCTTATTGGTCATGCCCTAAGCACGGATAAACCTTTAACGGTAACCTTGAGGATCATTCTCATAGTTGAATACAATACCCTGGATGAGTATATCACGTGGATTGTCTCTTCGAGCATAACCAAACTGACGTAGAGCTAGAGAAGGGTTGCAAGTGATACCTCCCCTTATGCAAAGGTGTGACACATTAGGGAATTCCCCACAGCGGTCAATAATGTTGATGTCCTCTTGAGATTGGGAACACCAATAGATATCTTAATGAGCGAGTGACATTAACCTTCGAGACCACCTCAAACCTTATCCATTCTTCGTCACTGGTCAGGGAAGGTGCGAAATAAACCATATGGAAAGTAAAGATCTGTAACACATGAGAGTCCTTAGCTTCCTCATTGTACGAGTGTGAAGAGAATGCAGAATATCTCCGAGCAAAGTAGGCAGATGATTATGAGTAAGAAATATCTGGATGGTGTTCACATCTACGAGTTGGTCCGAATTAGGGAATAGTACCAAACCATAGAACAACAAAGCTAAACTATATTCAAAATCATGAAAACTCATGGCATCTAGAAACAACTGATCCCTTTCTATCAGAAATTTAGCAAGAAGACCTTTAACTCCACTTCTTGTTTCCCAATTAGACACAATGTCTGACTGCTTCAGATGTATGGTTACTGCATTATCTTCAGGTTTTGGAACTTGCTCTAGACTGGTGAAGGGTGTCTGATTGAGAATAGGCACTCCAAGTAGCTTAGAGAACTCTTCCATTGTGGTAACCAACTGATAATATGGGATGGTAAAACAATGATGCTTAGGATAAAAAAATTGGAACAGAACACTCATCACGTCTTCTTCAAATCTGGGAATAACCAAGCTGAGTAGATAGCCATGCCTTTTGGTGAATTGAGAATTTTTGGGAACCTTTGAGACTAATTCCTCAAGCTTGGAAGGTACCTTTTCAAAGTTAATTCAGATAGTATTTCTGCGAGCGATAGCCATGACCTGCAACAAAAGAACAAAGATAAATCCCTTGGTCCTTGAAATGGTTAGGGAAAATGACATGTCATGATGATATGATATCGTAATGTTATGTTTAAATACCAAATACAAACAAATCATGCAAGAGCCTTTGGTTTAAAGGCTTGCATGGGGTCCATAGGTAAGTACCCTTCTCTATTGAAGTTAAGTTGGCTCAACTTTCCTAAAAATAGTAACCGAGTTCTAGGAGTCTCAATATCACCGATCTTTCTCGCAGGTTTTATTTTAGCACGGCAATTGACTTGCCACCAAAAAATCCCGAAAGTAGAATCTCAATGATCGTAGCTTCGAGTATCAACCAACCTTAGACTGCACTAAAGCCGGCTATCTCGCTACCTTTTAATGGCCAAGAAGGGTCAATTAAGGTTCTAAAAGTTAGTTAGTTCTTATGACACCATGCGGCAGCTCAACGTTATCCTCGACTGACTCAAGGAACATCAGTGCAAACCAAAGTGTCACACTAATGTAGCCATCACTTCAACCATATCGGTCTACGCTGTACAATTTCCATGATCTATTGCTACTTACTTAAGGCACCCTAGATTCGGGTGTAGGATCTTTGCAAGAAATTAAACCCAAGCAACCCTTTAAAGTAAATCAGACAATGCAAAAAAATTTAAAGCAAGTAAAAGTGATCTAAGACTCTAAGGTAACCCCTCTTTTGAGATATAATCCCCAGCAGAGTCGCCAGTTCTGTAATACGGTGGGAGAACTGACTTTTTAGCATTTTATTACAAATGTTGCAGATAGCAAGAGTCGCCACCGACTTTTCTTTTATTTAATCAGGAAAAGGGTGAAAAGAACAGGAAAGACCTTTTAAGATTTTGAGTTCGGGGGTAGGCTATGAAAAGGGAAGGTCTTAGCACCCTTTTCATCCGTAGTTATCTATAGGCTCTTAATCACTTAGCTCACTTTGAAAACTTGCTTTTTTGTGTGTGATTTTTTTGAAAATATTTTGAAATTTGAACTTTGTAATAATTCTTGTATCAGTCCTCAAGAATGTGTACAAAGTGTTTCCTTGAAGATATTTGTTTGTGAAAATGTTCGTGAGAAATGTTTTGGTTTTGAAGAGTTTGTGAGCAAGCGATTAATAGTATTCTACCCACTCAAAGTTGTTCTTTATACTTTTTCCTTCTCCTTTAGAGACAATGCTATATGTACCATTAGTTGGTAGATAGTCCTCAAGAATGTGTACAAAGTGTTTCCTTGAAGATATTTGTTTGTGAAAAATGTTCGTGAGAAATGTTTTGGTTTTGAAGAGTTTGTGAGCAAGCGATTAACAGTATTCTACCCACTCAAAGTTGTTCTTTGTACCTTTTCCTTCTCCTTTAGAGACAATGCTATATGTATCATTAGTTGGTAGGTAGCCCTATCTATTAGATGTGAAGGGACATCGAGGGTCATTGTACGGTCATTGAAGACAACTTGTATGGATGCTCTAGAAGTTTCGTAAGGATCTAGATTATTTTTCGAAACGCAACGTCGTAGGGTCATCGAGGGACAATGATCTTTTATTCGAGGGTCTTTTCTAAAGCATCCCTATGTTCGAGGGACATGACCGTTTATCCGAAGGCAACAAAGAGAATTACCCTAGAAGTGTGAGTGTGTGCAGTGTATTGATTCAGTTATGTTATCTTGGATTAGGGTTTTTCTATGTTTGATTATTATCTTGCCATACAAGCCTATTTACTAGCAGTTATATATACAAGGCATATAAAGTATAAGTGCGAAAAACTAAAATGCGAGAAAATAAAGACTTACAACTATTACATGGCTTCAGGAGAATAACAATATTTAAACTTTGCGGTAATTTAAACACTAAGCTGTTACAGAAAACTCATGCGACCTATGTAATCGTTTCTAAGAAAATAAATGGCAAAAGTAAACAAAAATATTTGCAAAACTATTTT